GAGAGAAAGAGAGAGAGAGAGGGAGGTAAAAAAAAAGGGGAAAGAGAGAGGGGAGAGAGTGAGAGTGAGCGAGAGAGGAGAGAGAGATGGAGAGAGAGAGGGGGGAATATATAAGGGAAATGGAGATATAGATGCAGATATAGAGATCTAGGGATAGGAAGTAAGAAGAGAGATAGATAGAGAAATAGAGAGAGGGGAAACAGAGCGAAACAGATAGGGAGAGATATGTAGAAGGGTAGCGAGGGGTAGAGTAAGGGGAGATGGAGGGAGAGATAGACAAGGAGAGAAACAGATGTACATGTATCATCACGCGATCAGAAAATATTAACGAATGTATCATCAAGAGATGAATCTAGACTGAATCCAGTCTCTGTTTCAACTAAAACTTCGAGGAACCTATTTTTTATTGATATTTGCTGATTGCAGAGAGCCCTCTTCATGACTAAAACTGATTCAATAATATTGCACAGTAAACTACGGTTATAACGAACTCAAAGTGACTACTATTTTAGTTCGTTATAACCGTAGTTCGTTATAAGCATATATACAGCATAACTACAGCAAATAGTCGGGACTAAAAAGTAAGTTCGTTATATCCGTCAGTTCGTTATAACCGTAGTTAACTGTATTTCATTTCAAGACCCACAAATGCTAAGATCATGTGGCGCTTTTTACATATTATATAGTCTGATAAAGTCCAATCTAATATAACACAAACTTCAGGACGCATCAAGTGCAGTTACCAAGGCGGCTTCTCCGAGGCCTTTTTTTTCTTGCTGTGACCTAATCCCTTCGTTTTAATATCTCAAATTATGGCAGGTAAGTGAATCCATAGTAATATACCACCTATTTCAAGACTGTAAATGACCCGTGAAGATTCCGGGGTAGAATAGGTCTTCAGCAACCCATACTTGCCGTAAAAGGTGACTATGCTTGTCGTAAAAGGCGACTAACGGGATCGGGTGGTCAGGTTCGCTGACTTGGTTGATACATGTCATCGATCCCAATTGCGTGGATCGATGCTCATGATATCAATCACTGGATTGTCTGGTCCAGACTCGATTATTTACAGACCGCCTTCATATAGCTGGAATATTGCTGAGTGCGGTGTTAAACAACAAACCAACCAACCAACCAAGACTCTAAATACTCAAAGTAGATAAACTAGTGGTTGACAAAATGAACAACGATCTCCATTCAACGATGACTCAAAACCATCCTGGTCGTTCTTACGACATGGGTAGCGGAAATCTGTTCCGAGATACCCGTCAGGGAAGGTAATATGTCCTTCTTTGTTTGTTTGTTTGTTTGTTTGTTTGTTGTTTAACGCCGCGCTCGGCAATATTCCAGCTATATGACGGCGGCCTGTAAAGTTTCGAGTCAGGACCAGACTTACAAATGATTGATATCATGAACATCGCTCCACGAACATGAACATGGCTCGTCACGCAGAAGACCCGGGTTCGATTCCCAATATGAGTACAATGTGTGAAGCCCATTTCTGGTGTCCCCCGCCGTGCTGGAATATTGCTAAAAGCGGCGTAAAACCATACTCACTCACTCACTCGTTATAACGGGAAATGGCCGAACGTGTTTCAGATGACCACTTCAGCCTCTAGTTCACAGAGGTCGTATGTACAATACTCGCATTTATGTTAAAATTCCGTTTAGATCCGTTCTTAATGAAATTTGTTTTCACTTATGACAGCCAACCATATTCCAGTCTTGTCATGAAGCTCATGAAGCCATTGTAGTTTCCCGAATGATGTATCCCAAGAAAGAATATCAGTCCGTGAATCCGTTTTTAATTTATCTATATTGACACGTTCGTGACGCTCTCACGACTCTTACAATATCTTTTTTGTCAATTTAACACATTGGATTTTGTAAATTATTATGGTCATGGAACGAACTTTGACTTCCCAATCTACAGGAAAGCAGCGTGAGTTCTTAAAGCAAATAGATGGAACTATATGAAATGGTTCGGCCATATTTCTTTACAACCTCGTTTCGGAACTTTCGAAACCGACACAAAACACAATATATACCTTTGATAGTTTACTCCAGTAGGTGTAGCTGCCGTGGCGCTCAGAAACGACAGGATTCATAAAAATAAATACAATGTGACAGCGCGGCTTAATGCTTTTGCATTCGGAATTCTTTGATTAAATAAGTTTTCGAGATACAAAAGTTAGATCAGCTAGTTTGAATGCTTCGCTCACTCGTACCGAGAGTTTGGACGCTGTTAGTCTGAGTATGACAGATTGAAATGTCCTCACATCTTCTCGCACAGAAGAATATTATCAAACTAAAATATCTGATTTTAATTAAATTGTCTAAGAATCAAGGCTTACATTGTCGTTCTATTTTTAGCCTCATGGTTGTTTGCTTCATATGAGTCCTAACTGATAGTTGTAACACTGGTGTTATGTAGAGAAAGAAAATTCTATTGTGACGTAGTTAGACCTCGTGTTACTTTATATCATCCAGCCTTTGGATA